ATCATTAGTATACTTTTCTTAAACGGAACACTATAATAGAACACTCCAAAAAACTTCTTAGTATAACACTCTAATGTAATATACAAAAAAAATCCTTACTATATTTTTTTTCCAAATGTAATACTTTAATGTTACACTCCAAAAAAAGGATGTGAGATTCTTCAAACCATTCTAAAAAGAGTACAAAAATTCCTTAATAAATTTTAAATGTATAATTTCAAACTGTGAGTGTTACGTTTGAAAAAAGTACATTAAGGAATTTTTTAGCGTTTTTGTGTGTTACATTGGAGTTGGAGTATGTTACATTGATTAGAGTATTACGTTTAAGAAAAGTACACTAATGAATTTTTTTGTATGTTACATTGGAGTGTTACGTTTGGAAAAAGTATACTAAGAAGTTTTTTTGAGTGTTATGTTGTTATGTTTGGAAAAATTACATCAAGAAATTTTTAGTGTGTTATATTAGAGTGTTATTATTTGAGAAAAATACACTAAGGAGTTTTTTTAGAGTGTCACGTTATTACATTTGAGAAATGTACACCAAAGAGTTTGTGTTACATTGAAGTGTTACGTTATTGGAGTGTTACATTGGTGTATTGCATTTTTGTTCGTGATGTGAAATTTACTCTAAAAAGAGGGAAAATCCAAAAACTTTATAGTGCGTATTGCCCAAATATGTAATTTTATATTTAGAGAAACCCATTTTTATTCCTAAAAAATAAAATCTAAATATGTAAGTGGGGTGCCTTTATTTACACATCACCTTTCATCTTAAGGCATACCACTACTCAAGGCACACCTTTAGAAATTTGATAAATAAGAAATTTGCTCGATACACATTACAATCTTCCATCTCTACCATTACTCACACACCCCATTCACAATCTTCCATCTTTACCCTTATTCACTAACACACCCCACTCACAATCTTCAATCTTCCATATTTTATACCTTCACTTCAAAAACACGCACAACGTTCCCCTCTATTCTCTGTTTCATTATCATTCCAGAGGTTTGGGAACCAGTCTAAACCCGTCTCCATTCGTGCTGAAAATGACTTCACTCCATTCTACTCTGGTTCACGACCCCCTCCGTTATCTGTTTCATCATATACGCAGGTGGTGATCGTTGTTATCATCACAGTTGGAAACAACTCCACATTGGAGATACAGTAGGTGAGAATTCTCATTTGGCTTATATTTTAGGGTTTTATGTATGTTTTTCCATTATCATGAGCATTGTATTTGAAAATTTCATTTTGCGAACCGTTCTACACTGGTTTTTCGAACGTTAACCTTTTGTCCGGAGTGTTTATGTCGAACACTTTTAACCAAACATGTGGACTATGTTCGACACTAGAAAATAGAACAATTAGAACTTGTTCGGTTGTAGATAGTCGAACATGAGTACATTGTTCGAATCTGGGTATCCAAACGAATACAAACAATTTACTACTCAGCAAGTATACGAAAACGAAAGAAAAAAAAATGAAAAACTAACCTTTTCCATACTCCATTGTTCCAAACCAATATTGTTGGATGCATCCATCATTTAGTCCAATCAAAATCTTCAATAATACATATATCTTTTTATTGTTTCTTTAAGGGTTTTTAGTTTTTGTTTCAAGGTTTTTAGGTTCTTAAGAGAGAAGATACGTAAGTAACGTTTCAGAAAAGAGGTGTGTATTGTATCCATTATTGTCCTTTATGGTAATTTTGCGTAAGGTGTGTGTCATAGCCCTTTATCCTTTGTGGTCATTTTACATTATGTTAATATTGTAATAAAAAATAAATTAATTAATGGTGTGCCTTGAGATGAAAGGTAGTGTGTAAATAGAGACACCCATGTAAGTGACTATCATTTTGTGTAATTTCTATTTTAATGGGACCTTTGGGTTTATAAAAAAAAATGAAGGACTAAATAATTCACAAGATCACATTTTAAAATTTATTGGTACTTCAACTTTTTTTTTTCAACAATATATTGTAAGGAGAAATTACGTCAAACAATCTCACTTAAATTTTCAAAAAAAAAAAGAAAAGAAAAAGAAATTATAAACAACTCAAACAAATTACACTAAAAAATCCTTTGAATAATATTAGAGATCAAGAAAAAAAAATCATAAAATGTATCAGGAAGATTTCTCATCATTTAATTAGAGTGTGATATTTTATTATATATAAAATCTAAAGATAAAAAATATGTTATAATCATCTTCATAATATTTTTCTTCGTAATCCTTAACATTACACTTTAATTCTAATTCTTAGTTAAGGAGGTAGCCTTTTTGTTCCAGCAGCTTTCACGTGCACAAGAATTGTGGCCAATTGGTTACAGCCCTTGCTGCTCTCAAATGGAGTCTGATTTTGTTTACATATTTTGGAAGTGCATGAATAAAAAATATATTTTCAATGATTAAAAGTAGTAAGGGCACATTATTCATGTTTGAAAATGCATAAAAAAAGGATAATTATTTTGGTGATTGTAGGGTAAATTCATGTAGTGCGCTAATTTGATTATTAGTTAAAATAATAAAATTCAGTAACTTTTTGTTGAACTTTTGAAAAACAACTAAACAAATGTTAAACAATAAATATAGAATATTGTTCCAAAATCACCAAATAACCTCTTATAACCAAAATTATTTTCTCCCAAACTCATCAAAGGTGATTTTATTTACACTACAAAAACATCTATTTACACTTTCATTTTTCATTTTTTTTTAATTGCAATTTTGTGTTTATTAAAAAGTAGCCAAACTTAAAAAATCCAGATATCTAATTTCTCATTGGTTAATGTTTTTGGTCTCGAGAGTTTTAGATGCGAATTTTTGATCACCGATTGATCATTCGGACGACCGGATGAAGCACTTGTCTACCACGGTTGTCACCTTATCGACCGCGGCTGTCAGCCTCTTTATTGGATGACCAACCAGACGACTAATTAAATAAATTCGAGACAAATTCACGCCTCAATATTCGAGAAGTGGATCACGACTCTTTCTCATCACACCCTCCCTCTCTCACTTCCCACATCTTTATCCATTCGCATTGTTGCTACTGCCACATCATTTGGAGGCTACAAAGTTCTTTTCTTTCAAAACTTTCTAGTCAATTTTTGCCATGTGATTCGAAGAATTTATAAATTATGTGAATGAAGCATTTTTGTTTCTCCAAACCTCAAATAATCAGAGGTCAGTGTAACATAAAATTAAAAAAAAAAAAGAAAAAAAAGAAGAAGAAAGGTAACCATGATTAGTTTTTATTCCTTATTAGCCCAACTTGGAATGAATTTTGTTTAGTAGAAATGTTTTGTGCCTCGAAAATTTTGCCCCCGAATGCCCCGAAAAACAGATGGAGAAGAGAAAGAGGGAGAAAGAAGAGAGGAGAAGAGAAGGAAGAGAGGGGAAGAGATGGCAGCAGCAGCAGCTCGCCTCCGCCTGACGTCCCCTCGCAGCAGCTCCGCCTCCACCCCCTGCCTCTGCCTTCGCCTCCGCCCTCCATTCTGCCGATCGTCGTCCCAGCTCTGCCTTCTTCTCTTCTTCTTTCTTCTTCTCTTCTTTCTTTCTTCGTCTTCTTCTGTATTTCTGATTGAAAAAAAAAAAAATTCAAACGACGAAACGATGTCGTTTCGCCAATTAGGGGGATTCGGGGGGGCTGAATTCGAGCTCTCTAGCACGGTCCAAATAAATAATAGAGAGAAGTGGAAAAGATAGAGAGAAGCATCAACTCAGAAACTCATGACCAACGTGTAAAAAAAATCAAAAAAATGAAAGAATTTAAATAGAATTGAAAGAGAAAAAGAGACCCAAAAAATGGGTTCGTGTAGAGAGGGAGAAAGAATGGTGCCCTATTTCTCTCTGGTTAATGTGTTAGAACTGCTCTGAATAGAGCCCAAAAACGTGGGGCATTTAGTAACTGTCAAGAAAAGTTGGTGTATGTTAGAAACAATAATGATTGAGACGCTTTTGTTAGGATCTCATAATCTCTTTTAAATCTCAACTATTGATGATGTGGGTCCACATATACATGAGTGGATTCTACACATACATCAATGGTTGAGATTCAAAAGGAATGTTGGGGTCCCAAAAAAAGGGTCTCAAATGTTAGAATTGAAAAATGGTTTAAGTCTATTTTAACTATAAAAATTATGAGACACAATCAGTCAATACCAACTCAAGGCCTCACTTTATATATTAGAATAGATTTTGGATAAAAGTTAATTTTAAAAGTAAATTAGGAAAAATTTTCTTCTTCTTCTTCTTCTTCTTCCTACTCTTTCTCCTCTTCTGATTCTTTTCTTCTGAAATGAAAAAAAAAAGAATTCAAAAACGTCGTCGTTTTTGAATTCGGGGGATTTGGGGGAGGGGGTTTCGGGCTCTCAATCGCGATTGTTTTGTCTAGTATTATTGTTTGAATTTGATTTGAAAGATGTACAGAGAATCGAAGACGATAAAGGCCGTCTCATAAATCATACATAGCCTAGCCTACGGCATCTAAAACCCTCTCTTTAGATTGTGCCTTTCTCGCTCGCTCGCTCGCTCGTCACAGTTCGTTGGGTAAGCTCTTCCACTATGTTTGGAGCTTATGAGAGAAAAGAATAGAAATGATTACTTAAGTAATAAGAGGAAAGAAAAGAAAAGAAATGATTGTGATTTCTCTCATTTTTGTTTGGATAAAGAAGAAAAAAAAGAAAAAAAATTATTGTGATTTCTCTCACTCTTGTTTGGTTAAATTTCATTAAGAGAAAAAAAAATTATTTTATGTTATATTATCAAAATAACCTTTTTATATTTTCAATCATTTTATTTCTTTTATTTTTATAGGGACAAAATTAGTATTATAAAAATAGTGATTTCTTTTCTCTCTCAATCTCTCCACTTTTGAAAAGATTAAAAGTGAGATTTATAAAGGAAATAAATTTATCTCCACTTCTCTCTATTTAGATTATCTAAATAAATAAAAAAATACACATCACCCCATTTTTTTTCTTTCTATGTCCAAATTACTCAATCCAAACATAATAAGTTGTTTTCTTTCGCTTCGCTCTCACCTCTTCCACTCTCTCTTCTTCTTTTCCGCAAACTGACCATTGCTTAACGCTGTGTTCTGTTGCGGCGGTTTTGAGGAGTGATTTGAAAAGAAAGGGAAAAATTAGGTGAAAGTATCAAACACATTTTTTCTTTACCTTTCCAAATCACTCCCCAATTCTCTCAACCAACCATAGCATTAGGGTTTAGGGATTATCTGTGCGTGTGTGTATATATATGGGTCTCTGTGTATTGATTCTGTGTTTTTTTGCAATTTGGGTTGTTTTGAGAATTGCAGGTATCGATGGCGGCTCATTTGATCCGAGAATGGACTGGTATTCAACAGTTCCCTACTGCCACCAAGACCAAATTGTTTGATTTTCTTGGAAAACTCAAGCAGGAGGTCCAATTCTCTCCCTTAAATGTGACCCTGCTATTATTCTTGCTGACAAAATGATCAAGCATGTTAAGAAGAAAAATAAACATACTTAAAATGGTTTTTTGAGGCTTAGTGGAGTGGTGAGGCTCCATTTGGTATTGTTTTCAAGACTGATCCCCTTTTCTGAATTTTAGAAAGAAGAAAAAAAACTGTAAAAAGCAGCCCTTTTTGAGGTTAAAGTTTTGAACCTTTTTCTGACTTGTTAAAATTTCATAGAAAAATGGAAGTGATATAAAATTTATTTGCCTATTTGATATTGTCGTTATTATTTTTTGTTTTTGTGTTTTCAGAAACAAAAACAATGAAAAGTTCAAAAGCACCCATTCTATTCATGTAGTTATAATTTTTGTGCAAATATTGCTTTGGAAAATTAAAAAATAACTTTTTGATGTTCGCTAAAGTGAATTTTCTTATTTTAGAAATTTTTCCGAAAACAGTTTTTGAAAACGTTTCTGCGTTTTCCAGAACACAAAAACAATAACAAAAAACAAAAACAATACCAAACATGCCCAATTTTCAAATTTCTGGTCATTATTTTTAAAATTGTAAGAAAAAATGAGAATGGTAACAATCGAGCCCATATATGTCTGAGTTTATATTTTGAAGTCTTACCATATTTGTAACTTTTCTCAGCATCCAGAAGGACGGTGGTGTTTTAATTACATAATGCAATATTTACATTTTCTCATACTATGTAGAATGTGAGCACCTTGACAATTCTTGTGATGGGGAAAGGCGGTGTTGGAAAATCTTCGACTGTAAACTCCATCATAGGGGAAAGGGTAGTTGCTGTCAATGCTTTGCAGGTATCTGTTTGTAACTTTGTATTTGAGAGCAACGGCTTCGTGAGGTTCCTAAGTTGGTCATTGTGTATTGAAGATATATATGTCGTATAATTTTGCAGTCAGAAGGAACTAGACCTGTCATGGTTTCACGCTCATGGGCTGGATTTACACTGAACATAATCGACACTCCTGGGCTCGTTGAAGGTGGATATGTCAATGACCAGGCACTTGAGATCATCAAAAGGTTTGTATCAAGCTGTATATAAAATTAAGTTGACAATATTTCAATGATGAGATGCCATTTGATACATTTCAAACTGCGATTTTGTTTTGTCTGAACCAGGTTCCTTTTGAACAAGACCATAGATATTTTGCTTTACGTGGACCGCCTAGATGCATATAGAGTGGATAACTTGGATACGCAGATTGTTAGAGCTATAACTGATAGTTTTGGTAAAGAAATATGGCAGAGAGGATTGGTAGTCCTGACACATGCTCAGCTCTCACCTCCTGATGGTTTGAATTATGAGGATTTCTCCTCTCAAAGATCAAAGGCTCTTCTAAAAGTTGTTCGTCTGGGAGCTCGGATGAAGAAGCAAGTTATGCAGGTAAAGTTTGTCTCTTAATTCTTTTGGAGAGTGGTTGATTTGTGAAAGTTGTCTGATGGGGGAAGCATGGTTAACTTTAACAAAAGTAGTACAGAAGGTTACATTTGAGTATAAAACATGGTCTAGAGTGTCGTCCCCAAAAATGGAGCTCATGATGCAAATATATATCAGAATTGGGTGTGCTTTAGCGAAAACCTTAGGCAACAAAGATTGTAGGTGAGTTCAAAGAATATATAACAGAATTGTTTGCTAGGTCTTTTGTTTGCATGTTGAAGAAAAGAGACTTTCAAATTGTGTTCTATGTCCATCAATATCCCTGAACATGAAGGTTTGTGTACGGTTTATAGCAAGTTTAGAAGATGGCTGCATTCTCTTGTAATGCTGAAAAAAGTGGTTCTACATGTGTATCTTGGAGTCCAGCGTTCATGAAGGGTCACCAACGTTGTGGGCCAAACTACTACTGCTCTGGGACTTACGTCCAAAGTATGGAAGAAAATGAGGCTCATTTCCGGGGCCCTTAAGAGAACCCAGATTCAAGAGCGTCTATCAAATAGATTTTATCTGTATGTGCCCGATGATTTTCCTACTCATCTCATTTAATTTTTTCAAGGAGAAGTAGTCATTGTTAATTCATTTCCTTGAGCCCAAAGGAATTAGTTCATTGCAGAAATTTCATTTTATTTATTTTGTGTAAATTTCTTCCAAAAATGGTCAGAGACCCAATCCAGTGTGGTTTGCAATTAAAACGGATTCAATGTTTAAGGCTAGTACCTGACAAAATCACCCAAAGTAACACGTAGCTACATGCCAAACATAGGTGGTGGTGGACATTTTTATGGTCACAGCAACAGTAGTTCAAGTTTGTCACACCTCATTTGGAAAGTCTCTAGTGTTCCATGTGTTCAGCATAGTTGATCACCTGCATAACAATAGAAAAGTTAGTTGGCATCTTTTTCTGAAAAAGTGGAGTTTCCAACTTGGCAGGGTTTGATCCCACAATTATTATAGGGAAAATTACAAATCATATAGAAGACCAAAAATAATTACAAAGACATGGGGGTGCAACTTTTTCTGTGCAATAAGATCACAACGAAAGTTGCAGCCCCCACCTTTTGGTAAATAAATTCCCAATTCCCACGTTCTTGTAATTTCCCATTAGTATATGGTGAAAATAAGATATATAAACCTCCCCTCCTGGCCAGTTGTAACTGCAAATGAGTATTTCCTTTTGATCCATCTGAAGGAGATGGAGAGCCGTTATCAAGATATTGAAGACTGTATATGCTGATGGCTTTTGGTTCTCACTTGTGTTTTGTGTTAACGGACCTTATCCTCCTTGTTTAAGTGATGAATCTTCACCTATACAATGTACGGAGGAGTGGTTAATGACCTTAGTTGTGGCTTGAATGGAGAAGCCCAAATTTGACTTTTCATTCACATTAAATATATATTTTTTTTCGGACAAAAAAATGAAATTATATGAATAACTTTAATGCACAATATATTGGAGTCTCCTTGTCTCCCCACCTATGACGCATGGACACTCCAAAATCGGTGCCGTGGCGATGTCCGACACTTGGACACGCTGGCGACACAAGGACACTTACGGACATGGCAGGTTGTGTGTCCCTTTAACTTAATGATTTTTTTGTAGGGGACACGGCAGGGACACACATGTCCATATCGGAACAAGAATCGAACTCAGAACAAGAGAGAGAGAGAGAGAGAGAGAGAGAGAGAGAGAGGGGCTCGTTGGGCATACCTGGAAGCTCTTCACTGGTGAGTCGTCGGTCTTCGGTGGTTGGTCTCCGATCATCTTCTTCGTCTTCGTCTTTGTCGCTCTCAGTCTCTCTCTCTCTCTCTCTCTCTCTCTCTCTTTC